GCAGAGGGAGAAAACATATGTGTAACGTATATGGTATGTGGTGAGAAGTGCATGATCGAAAGCTCTGCCAACCTTCAAACACTGCGTCCTCATGTGGACCGCGTCTCCAAGTGATGTGGAGACACACAAACACGAGATGGTGGCGTCGTGCTTATTGGGACCATGTTTGTCTTGGATTCCCATTGTTCCAATCTGTCCTTTTTGCAACAAAGTAACATTAAATTTGGAACGTCATGCTTTCCTTTAATTACGTTTTATATCCTCACTTCCCAACACCCGCAGACTCGTTCGGTACGAGATGAAGGCCAGCAAACGCTCGGACAGATTAACCATGCGCAGGCACCGCACGTGTAGGCCTGACATGTGCTAACATGTTTAATTTTAACAACAGCCCCACCAATCCGGGTCTGTTATTATTCCCATTCTACAGACAAGGAAGCAAGAGCAGAGAAGTTATGTGACTGGCCCTGAGCAACACAGCTGGTCTTTGGAGCACCGAGTCCTGGTGTACATCAGGCCTTTTGCCAGGCACTGGAGGGGATGTGGGGGAAACGCCAGGGAGAAAGACAGGTGGGTCAGGTGGGTGGGGATATCCCACGCCCTGGGCCTGGACCAGACCTGCAGACCCTGGGATGGAGGCAGGCGCTGGGGCCAGAGTGGGCCCCTAGGGGGCAGCAGGGACCAAGGAGCTGGGGTCCAGCAAATCTGATGCAGCCAGCCCCTCACTGGCCAGGTGCCCCCAGCTTGTCAATAAACATCGTGGGGAAGGGCGGGATTTCCAGGAGAACTGTGCCGTGCTGCTGCTGTCAGGTATCTCAGGCGAGCCACGAGAGCAGCTGGCCACGGCCTGGCCTTCACCCACATGACATCTGCTTCTCACCCCGTCACGTGGGCTGCAGGGTACTTCTCTTGTCCGTCTGTCAAGGGGGAGGAAACTGAGGCCCAGAGGGGTCAAGTACCTCGCCCACAGTCACACAGCTCCAAATTGACAAAGGCTGGTTCAAACCGAGGCAGGAGGAGTGCAGAGCCCTTGCTTCTCTGAGTCTCTTTCTCTCTCTGTAAGAGGTGTGCCAGGTGTGATCAGGAGTCAGGGTGCACCATGGGCAAGTTCCCGCAGGGCTGCTGTGGGGTCCAGCGTGTTCATGCCTCCATTGCAGGGTGCGCTCAAAAACTTCTTGGGTTGTTTTTTTTTAAATTAATAACTTTTGTGGGAAAACAGTGTCAGAAAGGTTATTCGACAGGATGTTAACCGAGATATATCTTCAAAAACAAACATTCATTTTGGGACTGCCCACATGGTGCCAGGTGCTGGGGCGGGGACGGGATTTCCGGTGGCTTTCACTTTCCTCTTTATAACTTTAGGTTTTCTCTGAATCCAAGAAGGCCGGCACGTGTCAATTGGTAATCAGAAAAAAGCAATAAGCAAAAAAACAACTAAAACAGAGGCAACCATCTCCCTGCCTCTTGGGGAAAATGTTTGTAAAACTGAGGCTGGGGGTGTGCGGGATTGGGGTGGGTGGCCCCAAAATCAACGCCTTTGTAGGTCTCTGGGGTCTGCCTTGTCCAGCCCCCTCTGGCACGGCTACCTTGGGCGGCCTCCTGCTCTTGGCTCTTTGGTCCAGCCCCCCGGGGGGTCCTGGGAAACTCCTGTGCCAGCATCTTGCTCCACCCACACCAGCTGCCCACCTCGAGCTGGCGGTGGGCGCAGGCGGGCCTGAGTTGGGCCCACCTGATCCAGCAGACCCCCGCCCCTCTGTGGCTCTTGGGGCAAACATTTGGTGCAGTGTGTTTGTCTTCTCTCTTCCTTCATCTTTCGGGGTCTTTTCCTCTCCCTCTACACTGAGGCAATCGAGAAAGGTACGTTGGACTAAAAGAATCTCCTAGCCGTGCGCTGTTCAATACTGTAACTACCAGTCACATGTGGCTATTTACATTTAAATGTTAATTGAGTCAATACAATTTAAAAGTCAATTCCTCAGTCACCTTAGCCACACAGTGGGCCTTTCCATCACAGCAGGTAGTGGAGTTGGATGGCGCTGTTCTAGACACTCATTCGTCGTGCTATAAAATTCCCTCCTGAAACTGTTCTTTGAACCAACATTCTCTCCGTCTTTTTCTGATTCTCTTCCTGTAAGTCTAAAATTAAACTTTGGTCCAGGCTTTGAGAACGTGGCAGAAGGCAGAGAGCACGGGGGAGCTGAGGGAGGCACAGGCGGGGGGCTCCCTGCCATGGTTGGGCGGCGGCCACAGCAGCAGCCTGCAGAGCCTTCCTGGGGAGGTTCGGAGGAAGCCCAGAGCAGCGGCTGTGGCTGCAAATTCTAAATGTCTAAGCTCTTTGTACGTTTTCACTTTTGTCACCTGTGACCCAGCCAGTTTGGAAGAAACCCAAGAGATGATGAAGACGATGGTAACAGCCACTATCTTCAGGACGGCCCTAGGATGCAGATTTTATTATCCTTCCTGGTTTGCAAGTGAGATAAGGCACAGGCAGGATAAAGGGGACAGCAGATAAGGGGCCTGGGACTTCATGCCCCAAAGAGCCTTGGGGCTTCTGGCCTAATTCGGAGACTAGTGGGAGGCCAAGGACCAGATTTTAAGGGGATTTTTAAAAGTCCTTTGTCAAGGAGATTCCGAGAGGCCCTGGCAGCCAGCCATTCTGTTGTGTGAATCCCTGTGGCAGCCTTCACTCCTGAGAGAATATCAGCACCGAGGACCTCAGCACCCCAGTGGCTCCTGTCAGGAGGGACCTTAGTCCTCCGCGTGTGCACCGTGGGAGTCCCACGGGAGGAGCACTGCCAGTGGCTCCACTCCCCCGCCTTGCCTCCTGCTTGTGGATGGTTTAGGTCTGGGGAGTGGGGAGATTGAAGACACACTGGTTTCTGTCAGACCATGTTTCTCAGTGGGTGGGACTAATGTGCATTTAGGCCAGAATGTAAATTCCTCGCGCCAGCCTGCATCCCGCCTGACCTGGTCACCCACCGCTGTCCCTGGCTCACGGATGTTTCTGAACTGCGAAGGTGCCAAACTCCTCATGCCTCAGGGCCTTTGCAATTGCTCCATGCTCTGCCCAGAATGTTCTTTCTCCAGTCCACCATGGCTTCTTCCAGTCACTGAGGGCTCAGCCGTCACCTCCGCAAAGACCTCCCTGTTAGCACCCCCACCTCAGACCCCTGTTGTCTTCATAGCACCCTTCGGTGTTGGCAGCTTTTCCTTTTGTCTGGTTGCTGTCTGTCTCCCCCGCTGGACTGAGCTCCAGGAGGGCAGGGCCCTATCTCCCTCAGGGTCCTCACACCCACACAGTGCCTGGCACACACAGCCGGTGCTCCGTGCTCGGTGAATATTGGTGGCTGTGCTCTCTCGGCTTTTCGGCCTCTCTGCTTCCTCCTTCCCTGTGTTAAGGTGGAGAAGGGGTTTGGGGAAGCAGGAACAATGGCTTTTCTCCGGCATCCCTGAACCTGGGAGTGTGGGTTTAAATCCAGGGAGGGGCTGGGAGGTGTCCCTCTGTACTGCTCCATTCTGGCTTCCCGAAGCCCAGCCAGTTCTGTCACATGAGCCTCAGCTGACAACTAGAGTCTCTGTCTCCTAAGGTCCTGGGGCAAGAAGGAGGCCGGCCTCAATTCTGTGTTGGACTTCCAACCCAACCACCTCTCCACCGCGCTCACAAACGTATTTTCTCTGCTGCTTAATTTTAAAATTTGATTTTCCGAGACGATGCTCCGGCAAAGTGGGTTAGAGCTGACTTTCAGGTAGGTGCTGTGCTGCACATGAGATGGCATATCATGCTGGCTGGGAGACCTGGGTTCAAATCCTGGCTCCAGGACTCCCTAGCTGTGTGGTCCTAAGCTAAATGTCAACCTCTCTGGGCTTGCTTCCTCATCCGCAAAATTGGGAATAATAATTGAAGCTGACTACCAGAGCTGTGACATAAGGGATTTATAGCACTTAGCATATTGCTTGGCCCTAAATAGTCATTTTTATTTCAAATTATGTTTTACTATAAAGAGCTCTTGAAGGCAAAAGTCCAGAGGGCTAGCTCAGACCCTGCCATTCGCTGTGGGACCTTGGGCAAGGCCCTTTTCCTCTCTAGCACTAAGTTTCCCCATCTGAAAATCGTGTGGAGGGGGTGCCTCCAGGAGCTAATGGGATAGATTTGGGCTCAACACAAAGGAGGCACTTCTAAGAAAGATCAGGCTGCATGTGAGGTAGTGAGCTCCCCATCACTTCTAGTGCATTGTGCAGAATGCTAGAGAAGGAAGAAACCTCCAACGACCATGCCCCTCATTTTCCAAGTGTGGCAGTCAGGGAAGCTACTCAGAGACCAGGGGGATCACAGATATAGGGGCTTCAGGCCCCCTGCCTGCCCGTCTCAGGCCCGCTCTGTCCTGCCATCTGCCACGATACCATGCACGGCTCACCTGCAGAGAGCCTGGGCAATGCACACCTCCTGAGTTCAGCTGCAGGCCTGCCACAAACTGGCTGTGTGACCTTGGCAAAGTGTAGCAGCTGCTGCCGGTGCCGTCTGCATCTCATCGATGTGCCGAAGGCTGCTCAAACATCGACTCCTAGCCTGAGGACTTATTTCCCGGAGCAGCTGGAAGTGCTGGGGAATTAACGCCCTGGAAGCAGCCCACCACCAGACAGACAGGTGCTGGGGGCCAAGCACCCTCGCGCCGCCCCCATCCTGTGCAGGGGCACCTCCAGGCATGCGCTGTGCATGGTCCTGAGGCTCCCAGTGGGGTGAGGCGTCGCTGCGCACATCCTTTATTGCCTCCCGCCCTCCCCTCCTCACTTCCCCTCTTCCCAAGCCTGGTTTCCTGGGATCACCTGCCGAATCATCTAACTGCACTTGAATCCGTCTTGGGAGGACCCAAATAGAGACAGAAAGTCCCTTAACCTCTTGGGCCCAGGCTCCCTGGGTGGGAGTATCCATGAGTTAACAGAGATGAGGTGTTCACAACACTGCCCGGCAGCGTGTTTATTTAATAAATGGGGAAAAAAAGGAGAGAAAGAATCTTTATTCATACAAGACTCCAGACCCCCCCATTCCACCGTCCTCAGCAAACACAAATACCAGGAGATAAAATAATCTTTGAGATACACACAAACAAGCGTTACTCGACCCAAGGTCTGAGCCATGTGCAGGCAAAACGTGCCGGGTCAGCTGTCTGGAATGCCCCATTCGGCTGGGTCATGGGCTGTGACCCACTCCCTCTGGTCTCTATGGCTGCCAGCAACGCTCTCCATGGGTGCACAAACTGGCCCTGGGTAGCTGGGCAGGTCCACTCTGGGGATCCCATGCCTAAGAGGAGGCCCAGGCCTACAGTTGTGGGGGGACCTGACAGCAAACTGTCACTACCGGCTAATCACAATTTCTCATGTCCTTCTCTGTGACCCCGACTTGGCTAAGCACCCACCACAGGTGCAATCCTGCCTCTGGTGCCAGCTAGATGAAGCTCTGTTGAAGGAACGGGCCTCTCTAGGCAAATCCTATCCTCCTGGACCCCGACTTCCCTTGAATTTCCTGGGGCCTCCTAAGTCATTCCCCCATGAGCTTGATCAGTTTCTAGGCTCAGCATCCAATCCAGTGATATGGCGGCAGCTAACCCAGGACTGGGTCAGACTCGGGTAACAGAGAGATTAGGTGGACAAAACAAGCCTTGGGCAGGCGTGACAGGGACAGCATGCTGGAGAAGCTGTGCACCAACGAAGCGGCCAACGGCTCGTTCACAAGCTCAGCTGCCCAGGGACCTCCCGATGCCCGCAGGTGCCTGCCGTGGGCATGGCTGCCCTGCAGGCTCCACTCCCGTGGGATGGGGGGAGCTTGGGCCACGGCTGGGAGCAAGGGGGTCCAGTCTCTGTAGCCCCAGGTTGGACAACCTCACAGCTTCCTACCAGGGTTCTCTGAGTCTTTCAGAAGTCTGCCAGCCTGGCTGCCCCAAAATGTGGGGGGAGGCATTTCAAAGACCCGGTCCTCACCTGTGGACCGCAGCAACCAGAGGGCACGCCCCTAGGAAGCGCTCGTGCATGTGGGCCCTGTGGAGAGCATGGCCACCGTGAGAGGGGTCTGGCTCGAGCTCTGAGCATTGCCGGGAGCAGGCTGGAAGAAGAGGGAGGGTTTGCGCTCCTCAGAGAGCCCCAAGGATCCCAGGGAGGCAAGAGAGAGGCCCGCCTCCAGGGGAACCCCACCTGGCGGGGGGTCCAGGGCCCTCACGGGGCTCACTGGGGGGGAGGACCTGTCCCCACAACAGCAGCCACAGCAGGGGCTGGCCACAGTGTGGGCCTCGCCATGCTCCTCCTGGCCATGACACTGCTTCAGGTGGCCACAAAGGTGGCAGGTGAGGGCCGAGTAGACAATGCCGCTGCCCAGGTCGTCCCTGAGGGAGTCTGTGGCCTGCTGTGCGGAAAGCAGGGGCTTCCGTGGGTCCTCTCCCTTCACCGTCGGCTCTGGGCCAGGGAGCTCTGGGGAGCCGCCTGGCAGGAGGGAGTTCTGAGGGCTGTGAGGTGGCTCCACATCCAGTCCAAAGGTGAACAGGGGGACGGGGACCGGGGCAGGGGCTCCAGGGTCGGGGCTCTCATAGGGCCTGTAGCCCCCCTCCCCACTGCTGGCCTCAACCCCAGATTGCCCTGGGCAGACGGCACTGCCAGCGAGCAGGCTGGAGAAGGCCTTGTACCCAGCCTCCCCAGAAGGGCCGGAGCCCGCCGCCCCGCCACCCTGCTTCACCACCTGCGCAAACTCCCGGTAGCCGCCAGTGGGGGCCGAGGCGGGGGCTGGGGCTGCCCCCTGCTGGAGGACACTCTGGCGGAGCATCTGCTCCCAGGTTTCTGGTTCAGGCTGGAGTGCAGTGGGTGGTTCAGAGGGCTGGGGGGCGGAGGGGATGCTGGGGTCCACTTGGCCCAGGTGTTCGGCCAGCTGTGGGTCTGAGTCAAGCTCTCCAGGACCTCGGGGCTGGCTCAGGGAGTTGCTGAAGCTGCGGTAGGCGGGGTTGTCTGCAACCACAGCAGGCGCCTCTGTGAAAGCCAGGCTGCCTGGGCTCTGGGTCAGAGTGGCCAGAGGATTTGACTCTGGGTTGAGAGGCTGCTCCTCACCCTGGGACGCTGCCTCCTGGGGCCCTGCACTTGAGATCCTGGCCCAGGGCATGTGAGCACTTCCTAAAGGGGGAAGAAGGCATGACTCCCCCAAGGCCCCATTCTCAGCCCCGAGGAGGCCCAGGAACAGGCTCTCTGTCAGCCGGGCCGCGACGCCCTCCCTGCCTTCCTGGAAGCCGCTCCCGCTGCTCTCAGGCGACGGGCAGAAGCTCCCTCTATCTTCCTCCACTTCCTCCTCCTCGCTCTCCACCTGGGCCTCACACAGCTCCACACACGGCACCACGCTGATGATCTCTGGCCGGAGGATCGTGTGGTTGACCTCCACAGTGTGCCATGCTGATTTTCCAGGACTCTGGAAAGGCCCATTTCTGACAGTCTTGGAGGAATCCTCCTCCTTTTGCAGGCCATGCTCCAGTAAACAGGGCAGGAGCTTGGTAAGACAAGTCTTCCAGCGTCTGCAAAAGCAAGGAAAAGTTTGGTCAGGGTTCAGTTTCTCCACTTAAACAACTCCTATTCGTCCTTCAAAGCCCAGCTTGAAATCACCCTGGACTGATGTCTATCTATTGCAGATGTGCGTCCTGACTTTACAGCCAACAATCTATCAGTCTATCTTTACTACTACATTGGGAACTCCCAAGGGGGTTCAGCTTATGCCTGACCCCCGAGTGAAATGCAGGGGGCTCAGCCAGCAGCCCATCTACCCAGACCACCCATCCTCTGGCCACCCGTCAAAGCCCAGTGTCACAGGACAAGTGTAGAACACCAAGAACGAGAAGGCAGCCATGGAGGTGGGTGAGTGACTCCACTCTCAGGATGGGGCCCGCGGCTCCAGCTCCATCACCTCCCAAACCCACGTAGGCTATGACCTAAGTTCATGTACGTACGGGCACTTGGCTGGCTCCTGGCCTCGGGACTGCTTCCCCCACAGTGACACCTAAAACACAGAGACAGCCAATGTAACAGTGGAACGGCCTTCCAGCGCAGCCTGGCGCACAGCAACACTCGGGAAGTGTTTACTACAGAAAGACTGTAAGCCTTGACATTACCAGGTCTGAGGTCCAATCAGGCCACTTCAGCTCTCTGGGCCTCAGTGTCACGGAAACGAATGAGACTGCCCAAGTACTAGCTTGTTGTGGCCGACGGCAGAAATGACCATAGTACTCTGACGCTCCTGCCACCCCTTCAGTCTGGCCTGGCTGTGTGACTTGCTTTGAGCAACAGAACGTGGTAGAAGTGACACTGTGCCAACTGGGCCAGCCGGCTTGAGGATGACAGACACCTCCACTGCCCCAGGTGAGAGTCAGCTAACTGCCAGACCTGTGAGTGAGGCCCCTGGGGACAGGCCCAGCCAAGGTCTGCCTGGCCCAGGCCAGGACCCCTCCACCCACCACTGCACTGAGCCCAGTCTACCGACCTGCAGAGCAAGAGCTAAATAAAGAGTCACTGTCTTAACTCTCTAAATTTCAGGGTGATTTGTCACACAGCAAAGCTAACTGATGCATACACAGCGTTTGCTACGAGCAGGACCCTGTGACATACACCTCACGCGTGCTGTCTCAATGAATCCCAGCGTCAGCCCTGCTGGGTAAACACTCCTTTAACCCACATGGGAAACTGAGGCTGAGAGAAGCGAAGCAAGTGTTCCAGACCACACTGGAGGCAAGTGGCAGAGCCAGGGTTCAAAGCCAGCACCACCAGACTCCAGCCTGCCACAGGGTCTCTGGAGAATGGAGGACACTCGGCCCGTCTGTTCCGGACAGGGCCTGTTTCCCCTTCCCTCGTTCCTAGAGAGCTCTGGTCCTACTCTGGCAAACCCCGCACGGCCAGCCCTAGCTCAGGGGTGGCCACTTGGCTGTTCTCAAGGTATTGCCACGCCTTCCAGGTCAGATAAGGCATGTGACGCAATTGAGGCCAACGAGAGTGAGGCGAGGTTGGCTGGTGCTTCGGGGCAGTTTCCTGCTCTCAAGAAGAAGACACAGGAAGTCTGGCCCTCTCCCTCTTCTGTTGGCCTCCCGTCCTGGTCCAGGCACCCCTCTACGAGATGAGACGGAGATGACCTGAGGGGTCAACTCCCCCCAAGGGAGGGAAAAAACCAAGACGCCAGCCCCAGAGGAGCCCCAGGCTGAGAGAATAGCCACGGAAGTGGAAGAGGGGAGGCCTCCAGGCGCCTTGTGACGACATTAAGCTGCTGAGTCAACCGCCCTGAAACCCTCCTGACCCCTCAGGTGCGCTTTCAAATGCCAGAAACGTCCTGAACCTCCTAGACGTTCTGAATCGTGTTTCCTGAAACGTGCATTCCCAAGCACCCTAACCAAGCTGCTCTCCTACCTGAGAATCCTGGAGGACGATAGCCACGAGGGGGCTGTGCGCTGGGTTGGGAATCTGGTCCCACCATTCTTTCTTAATCCTGAAAAAGAAAAGGAAAAGGGGTTGGTCTCCAATCATTGGCCAGTTGATGCTCCTCCCATAAAAATGATCATGGTCGCCAACACTTATCAGGGGTCAGGGACTATGTCGATTGGTCTCTAGATGTCTCATTCTCACCCCATCCTACAGATGAGGAGACAGAGGCTCAGAGAGGGCAGGTGACGGCCAGCAGGCAGAAGACTCAGGGTTGCACTCCAGCTGCCCAGAAAGGAGCCCCTACCATGGCCACCTCTGTCCTCAGTGGGAACAAGGCCCAGGGAATCAGGAGAGGCTCAAGCTGCAGAGAGAATACTGCGTTTCCCCATCAACAACCCCCTCTCTGGGGCAGCCGAGGGGACAGTGCCAGGGAGGGGCCCAGGATGGACTGAGAGGCTGACGGAACCCAGGAGGAAACCGCTTCCTTCTCTCTGCCTGGCTCTGCCTGGAGCCACAGAGTGTCAGCACTGGGAGAGAAGGCTCTCGGGTCACCCCTGGAGGGGCCTCCACCCACTCCACTCAGTCAGCACGCATCTACTGAGCACCTACGATGGACCATTCACTGTGCCAGGCCTCGGGGACACAACAGTGAAGAGACAGACAAAAACCCCTGCCCTCGCAGACCTGACCTTCTAGGAGAGAGAGACGGACAGCAGATACAGAAACGGTTATATGACGTCACTCATTCACGGCAATAAGAGTCATGAGCAAAAATAAAGAAGGTTAAGGGAAAAGAGAGGAATGGAGAATGTGATCCAGGAAAGCCTCTTGGAGGAGGTGACTTCTGAATGGCAACTGAAGGTGGAGGAGGAGCCACGCAATGCCTGGGGAAAGGGCTTTTCAGGCAGGGGCACAGCAAGAGCAAAGGCTTGGAGAGAAGAACCTGCTTGGTGCGTTCAAGGAACAGCAAGAAGGATGGACAGACGAGGGGGAAACTGAGGCTCAGAGAAGGGTCGCTCAGAGGCATCGGTGACAAGATGCAAGAGGGCAACTCGCATTCCCCCACACCTACTGTGTGCCCTGCCAAGGCGGGAGCCTCACCCACGTCAGTCCTCAGCCATTGCTAATCCTCACATGCGGAGCTAGTCCCATTGCAGTCAGGAGGTCTGAGGCTCTGAGGTCCCATGATCCAAGAGCTCGAACTCACTGGAAACAAGGCTCCTTCTACCCCCACCCACTGTGATCCAGGACTCTCAGGACTCTCAGGACTGACGAAATATGTTCTCCCTGTTACTCTCAGCCTGCAAAGGAGGGTGCCGAGGCTGACAGAGGCCCAGCAGCTTGTCAGTCACACAGCTGCTGAGCTCCAAGGCCAGGATCCGAACCCAGGACTCCTGACTCCATCAGGGCAGGAGTCTAGAATTCCTCTGTCTACAGCCACATGCCCCCAAGTGTCTGGACCGTACCCCGCACACCCAAGGTGATCCATCTCCCTTCCACTAAAGGAAGGTCCTTTCCCAGTCCTTCCCCTGGCCAGCTCATCCTCTTAGGGAGGTCACAGCTCAAATATCACCTCCTCAGAGGAGTCTGCCTGGACTCTCGAACCAAATTAGCCCCCCGGAACACAGCTCCCCTTTGCCCTGGTATATCTCCTTGAGCGCCTGGATCAGCATGGAAAACAGTCGTGTTATTTGTTGACCTGGCATCTCTGTCTCCCCGTGAGGAGCACGGGGTCCTGGTCAGTCTTGTTCTCAGCTGTTGCCTCAGTGCCTTGTGTGCAGCAGCTGCTCAATACATATTTCTTGCTGAACAAAAGGACCGCAAGCTGACAGAGCAGAGGGAGATCCCCCGCCCACTCCGCACGCAAGAAGGGCTAGCTCGGGGGCATCCCGTGCCGAACCAAGGACTCACTTGATGATGCTGAAATAGCAGGACAGGCAGATGGCCAGGATGACAACGCAGGAGATGCTGACACCAAGCGGGAGGCGCTGCTCCAAGGGCTGCTCGTAGTCTGCAAGTGGAGGGAGCCGTGAGCCTGCGCTGCGCTGGGTACAGCCTGGGCTCCAATTCCCAGAGCTGGGGACCGAGGCCTCAGGGGAGTGTCTTCCGAGACCCTGCATGGTCTTGCCTCACCCCCTCTTAATCTGCTTCTTGCACACGGAGCCCTCGCCACACTGGCCTTGTTGTCCCCTGTTCTCCCAAAGTTGGTGCCACCTCAGGATCTGGAACTTGCTTCTCCCTCTTTCCTGAAGCATAGAGGTCAAGCGCAGTGACCTTGGAGCTGGACTATCTGAGTTCAAAGCCTGACTGTCATATCCTTGCTAGTGACCCAGGACGAGTCCCTCACCCTCTCTGTACAGCGGGGTTATCTCCTAGGGTTGCAGTGAGGATGACGTGATCTAACAGATACCGCACCCAGAACAGTGCCTGTGCATCTGCAAGCATCTGCTGTTCTCACCTTCGCACAGCTGGCTCCTTCTCCTCATTCGCCTCCCTGTCACCTGCTCCAAGAAGTGTTCCCCATGCCCCGTCTCCTGCTGCCCCTCCCATCACTCCACCCCCTGACCCTGCTTCATTTCCTCTCTACACTTACTGTCAGCTGGATCTCGAACTCGCTGATTTTTTTGTTTACTTGTTTTACTTTCTGTCTCCTGCCCTGGAAGGTTGGAGGAGGGGTTTTCGTCTGGGTCACTGCTGATTCCCCAGTGTCTGGCACAGGCCCAGGCACACAGTAGAAGATCAGTAAATACTTGGAACCGAGTGCATGTCTAGCACACCATATCTGTTCCATGCAGGCCATTTCCCTTCCCTTCCCTGGGTCAAAGGTTGAACCACATCAGTTGGACAAAACGCTCCCCAGCACTCGCTGTGCTGTGCACCTGGCCCTGTGCTGGGCACTGGAGATACAGACACAGCGTAGATCCCACCTGTGGGCTCCCAGCCCAGATGGGGGACAGACGGGTCAAGAGATATCCACGGGACAAAAGAGCAATGTTGAGAGACACGTGTGGCGGGTCAGGGTCACTGCCAACCACCACCGTGCCCAGCACTCAGAAGAGTCCTTCTCCCACTGACTGCTCGCAACAGCCCCACCTCCTCCCCACTGTTCAGATGACAACTGGGCACCCGCCCCACCCAGCCATTGCCTCTTCTTCTTGGCAGGCAGCAAGATGCCCACGCCGAGATTTGGGACACACAGGATTATCCTATTCCCCTCTCCAGACATTCGAGTTCCCAGCTTCCCTCGCGGTTAGGAGAGGCCATGGGACAGTCCTGGCCAATGAGATGCAAGGGGAAGTCTGCTAGGGAAACTTCCGGAAAGATTTTTACTTCCTGATAAAAGAGAAAGATGCAAGAGGTGCACCCCCTTGTGGGAGTCTTTCATTTCCTTTAGGCCCTAGGGCAAGAGGGTGTGTGCAGCAGCCAACGTGGGACCAGGAGGTGACAAGTCTAAGCATAAAATGCCACCGTGCTAAAGGTGACAAAGGCAAAAAGACAAGCCTCTGGGTGACATCACTCAGCTGCTACATAAACCTGGGAATGTCCACTTGTAAGACTTCATTTTATGTGACATAACAATATTTTTATTGCAAAAGCCATGTGTGATAGATCTGTAAAGAGTTACTGGGGGGGGTGGGTGCAGCTACCAAGTGAGGGACTACATTTCCCAGAATCCCTTGCAGCTACATGTAGCCACGTGACCAATTTCACCAACAGAACCTGAGAGGAAGTGACGTGCGTCACTTCTGGGCTGAGGCTTTTAAGAAGCAGGTTTGGTCTCCCTGCTCTCCTTCCCCCTTCTGCTGCCTGGATGCAGATGATGGCAGTGCCCAGAGCAGAAAACTTAACTCCGGGTCCACAGACTTCCAGCAAGGCTGCAGATAGAGTTCAGGGGGCTGGGAAATTGGACGGGAAAGAAATAACATCTTTATTTTCACTAATCTCTGACACCCAGCATTTTCTCCCATTAGGAATGAAGGGAGTAATAGCATCAGTCCCTCAGCCCCCAACAGAAATCACAGCTGTCCTCATATCACATTACAGCTGCAGTATCACGAGAGAGCAAGTGTGCGCATCTACTTTAAAATGACAGCATTTATGACAGCTACCACTAGATCTTGTTTCTAGTGTTAAGAAATAACAAATATATTTAAAAACATTTTTATAACCGCATTTCAATAAAATTAGTTTCCCTTGTAATCCTATGTATTTTATTTTATGTGTTTAAGAATAGTATTTTGAGATAGGGGTCCACAGGCTTCACCAGACTGCCAAAGAGGGTCCACGATACAAAAAAATGGAGCCACGTGATGGACAGAGCCCCAGCGCCCAAGACTGCAGACAGAGGAAACCACTCAAACCACCAACATTCACGCTGGACCATCACGTGAGCAAGAAATACACTCCCACAGCACTAAGCCAGGGAACTTGTGGGCTTATTTGTTCCTGCAGCCTAGCCTACCTTCCCTGACCAGTACATCACGTCAGCTGGTAATTCTGCTACTTGCAGTCAGAGGCATCCTATGAGATGGAAAGCCAGATGCTCAGCCTGGGGAAGTGTCTGGCCAGAGTAAAAATGGGGAGGAGAGTGTCGAACCGACAGATACTCACAGTTATGCCACGTGGTGCTGGGGCTCCACTCACTCCAGGTGCTGTTGTAGTTCTGAGCCCTGGCCTTCACCCGTGCGCTGTACGTAGCCCTGGACTTCAGGGTGCTGGCTGTGACGCGGAGGGTGGGGTCCATGTAGGTCACGTTGTAGATTTTGAACTGGGAGAGGAAAGGGAGGCATCAGTGCACCAGCTCTGAAGGAGGCAGTACCAGCTCCTGCCCTGGCTGCTATCCTGAGCTGACCCCGCAGTGTTTAAGAGCCACCAGCCTGGGTACGTGGGTATTCATTCAGCTCAGGCCTACGGTGCCACCCCCACAACTGTGACCAGTCGAGCAAGATGGGTCAGGGGATCAGACTTCACCCTGGCTCCCCCACTGATTAGCCATGTGACATGACTTGAGCAAGCTGCTCGACCCTCCTGGATTTTGTTTTTCTCATTTGTAAAATGAAGTAGGAGTCCCGACTGTCGCTTTCTGGCTGTGTGACCTTAGGTAAGTGACACCTTTTTGCACCTCGATGTCCTCTTCTACAAAATGGCAATAAGAAGAGTGTCTACCTCCCAGAGTGCTCGTGAGGATTAAATGGGCTGATATAGGTAAGCACTTAGGGGGCCTGGCATGCAGGGAGCACGAGCGTCCTTTCTGAAGCACAAATAGGGTCACCACGTCCCTCTCTATCCTTCCTGGGTCTCTGCAGCCTCCACAGTCAAGCCCGAACTCAGTGGCCTAGAGTCTCGGCCCCACCAGCCTAGCCCTGACGGGAGGGGGCTCCCAGGGCCTGCTGTGAGGGGGAGAAGGCAGGAAGAAGATTAGTATGTGTTGTCTGCTGCCTTTTATTTTAAAAAATAAGAGAGAGAGAAGGCATAGACATGGTGGCAGACAGACTCTGAGATGGCCCCCGTGACCCCACCTTCTTTGACCCCCTCTTCTTGAGTGTGGGCGGGCCCTGCGACTTGTTCCTAACCGATGGAATATGGCAAAGGGGACGGGTGCGTAGGGACTACGTGCATGTGATGACATCAGGTAAGACTGTAATTCCAACTTGCTGGGAGACTCTCCCACCCTTGCTGGCCTTGAGGAGGAAGGAACTGAGGGCGGCCTCCTGCCAACGGCCAGCGAGGACCTGAGTCTCTCAGTCCAACAGTCCACAAGAAACCGAATGCTCACAGGAGCTTGACTGTGACCCTTCCCCAACCGAGCCTCACATGAGACTGCAGCCCTGGCCGACTCCTGGATGGCAGCCTTGTGAGACTCTAAGTAGAGGGCCCACCTAAACCGTGCCCAGACTCCTGACCCCCAGAAACTGTGGGACAATAAACGCGTGCCTCTTAAAGCAGCCACGTTTGTGGTAATATTATTATGCAGCAATAGAAAGGTAACGCAGCGACGCATCAACACAGACGCGTTTGCTTGTAAAGGCATGAACTCTCTGGAAGGACACGCATGCCTCCAAGCCCTCCACCTGCTCCAGCCTGGCCTTCCTTTCCCTCCCGGCAAGAGACGGGAGCAGTGGTCAACATCTGGGAAGAGAGACTGGATGTTGCGGGTGAGGGAGAAACATATTTCCATTCTAAGTCCTTTCGTAACATTTGAATTTTCACTTCATGTAAGTATTACTTTTATTTAAAAAAAAAACTTTAAAAAATAAGAAATGAAGTAAAATCTGCTTAAGATCGATTCTGACAGCAAGTGACTGGCCCGAATCCTCTGCCTGGGCTCCTGTCCCTGCAGGGCAGGTTCCTTTGCAGCCCTCTCTCCTCCTCGGGCCCCTGCAGACCCTTCCCAGCTCCTGTCAGCTCTGCTTCTGCTGTGGGTCAGATGCTTGTTTGGGGAAACGGTCTGGTGTCAAGTGAGCGGAGGGGAAGTTTTGTACAATGAGGAAGCGAAGTCCCAACAGTTTGCTGGAGAAGCTGGGGGGCAGCTGGAGCTTCCCGCGGGGCTGAGGCTGGGGTGGGCACTGCGGGAGGGCCTTCCTGTCTTCCTTTCTTTCCAGATATGAGTAAGCAGGAAGCAACGGCTGGATCTGGGTCGCCAACGAGTCATACATCCTGGAGTGGAGTAGGGGATTGGGAAATGTTTTACTAAGAAAAAGCAGAGTCAGAGTTTGCCAGGAACTACTTGCGGTTTGTTTGTTTTTTAACAGAAAGGCCAGGTGTCCGGGGGGAGGAAACAGCACAGGCTCTGGAGTTCAGATCCTGTGTTCAGATCCCAGCTCTGCCATTTCCAGCTTTGGGGCCCTGGGCGAGCCATTCCTCCCCTCCAACCCTCGGCTTCCTTATCACCAAAATGGAGAGATGAACACCTTCCCACCCGCAGGGCTTTCACAACCACTGGTGATAACACATGCTGTGCCTGGTACACAGGAGGCACACCAGAAATGGTAACTGTTATAACCATGAGCACAGCATTCATGACCCTGAACTTCTCGCCTGATGGCCTCATTTTCTGCTTCATTACTGCACACACTCCCACATCCCCATAATCCTCAGATATGCCAGGAATTTTCACACCCCCAAGGCTTTGCTTATCTAGTTCCCTCTGCCTGGCCTACCCTTCCCTCTCTAGAAAACTCCTGTACATCCTTCAATGCCCAGGCCAAAACTCCACCTCCATTACAGAACCTTGTCTGAAAATCATCCAGGACAATGAGTAGCTCCATCCCCTAGATCCCACAGCAAGTTTCTAATACCTTTTTTTGGAATTGATCTCACCCAGTCTGAGCCACAGCTGATGTCTGCAACACTAGAGCAAACACGGCCAGACACCGCCCAGCACCTGCGCCACTGGGGTCAGGTACTCAAAGCTCAGGGCAGGTAAGCCTCTGTCTCCAGCTCCAGGATTAATCCTCCTTGGTCTAAACCAATCATGGCCACCCCATTCCTTAGCCTGTGATTGGTCAGACAGGAGCACGTGACCAGCTCTGGCCAATGACTAACGAGGGCAATTTAGGCCCAGCTCCGTCCTTGAGAAGGGAGAGATGAGGGAGGGGGTCTCAGTGGCCTCTGCCTCACCAACAAGAGAAGCTGGGCCTGGAATTCTGAGGCCTGGGCCAGGCCTGAGCACCCACACAACCACTGAGCCCTAGCCAGGGCACACCGACCAATTCTCTCCGCTGGCTGGAGTCCAGAGCCAGGTCCTAAACCCAGCTGCGCTCCGGCCAGCCGTCTGTTTCCTCTTCCCCAGAGGCCCCTTTGGGGACCCCCCCCACCAACACATTCTCAGCCCGTCTGGTTTGGGTTGGAGCTGATCCCACCTGCTGCTCTGGAGGTGCCAATCAGAGCACTGTGCCAGGACCCTCTCTGCTGCCCACAGCCTGCGACAGGTTCAGAGATGGGCTCCTGATCCAAGCCAGGCAACTGAGAATCGGCCCCAGGGCTCCTACTGGGAATACCCGGAAAGAAAACGTTTCCCTCCGTGGCTTTGGGATGGAGGCCTGGAGCGGCCAGTGGGCATATCGGCCACTACATGAGGGAATAGCCTGCCTCAAAATGAAGCCGACACAGAATAAAGCAGGGACAAGAGAGGGAGAGATCCCTGCAACCTGGATCCAGCCATGACAAGCAAACACTCGCCACTTTTCTGGCCCCTACAGGTCGCGCCCTTCTCTTCCCTGCAGCCGAGCCCCTGAACGCGGCCTTGCACAGCCGTGCGCGGAGGGAGATTCACTGACAGAGCGGAACCTGCCTCTCTTCCTGGGCATCTGAGCAACCCCGCTCGCCCCACTGCCCCAAGGTGCCGCTGTGCCAGCCTGGACGCCCCATTCCCACCCCGAACCCCACGTCCCAGCCCAGGGCCCAGGGAACCACCCCCGAGAGATATAAATCAACACCCACCAGCTCCCTGGGAGGCCAGGAGGGGCGCAGGCAGCAGCAGAGGCTGACACGTCTGGGCCTGCTCCCCAGCGGTTGAGGCCAGGCAGCCTGGCACCAGCACCCAGCACAGCTCAGAGCAGGCCCTCAACAATTCTGAGGAGCGAGTGAGCTACAGCCCAGGGCACCAGGGCGAGGCAGACGGGGTTTCCAAGGCTTGTGGCCTTCAGGAGAAAGGACATTTACGACGTCCTCTGTGCCAGGCAGTGGAGCGTGTCGGTGTCACACATTGTGTGCCCTCAATAGCCCTGTGGGGTAGCTACTCGTTATCCCCGTGTTACAGCAGAGGAAAGTGAGGCACAGGGAGGTTAAGTGACATGCTCAAGGCCACACAGCGGGTAAGTGGCAGGGCAGATACTGGAACCCAGCTCTGTGGGACACGGGGACCATGGTTTTCTGAGGTCCCCCCAATGGGAAAGTCTGAGGGGAGAACATGGGTGGCAGGAAATGACCTCCATCCCCATCTGTGACTAAAACAGAGGGGACCGAGCCACCCACAGTAGACGGCCCTGCTACGGGGTACATGAGAGCTTGCTGTCAATCAGCGCTCCCTTTTAATACATTGATATGTTCATTTAACAAGGAGCCCACTGCACTGACTGGAAATCAGCGTCAATGATTGGAAAGCAAGTAGTAGGGGCCTCGAGCATCACATGAAAGTAAATACACTGAGAGGACTGGCCCCACGGCCTAGTGGTTAAAGTTTCGTGCGTTCCGTGTCGGTGGCCTCGGTTTGCAGGTTCAGATCCCAGGCACGGACCTACATTACTCAGCCATGCTGTGGTGGTGTCCCACATAGAAAACAGAGGAAGACTGGCACAGATGTTAGTTCAGGGACAATCTTCCTCAGCGGGAAAAAAAAAAGTAAATGCAACGAGAACCAAGAACCAAGCAAGGACATTACATTATGGTTGAATTTGTTTCCTGGGGCAGGCTCTGAGCCTGCAGCCCCTTCTCTCTGTTAAAAATCACTCAGGGTTAGTAAACTCACCAGCTCAGCTGAGACACCTCTCCTGGCGAGGCAGGGTTGGGGGGAGCCCACCTGGAGGCACTGTCTCACTCTGGGACTCGGCAACTTAAGGGGGTGATCAAGGTACCACCTCAAGTCTCAGGGAAACACAGAGGGGCCCAGCCTTCCTTTCAGATGAGGGGCAGGGCCCGGAAATAGCTTCCCTTCTCTGCACACTGGGACTCAGGGCGGAGGGTGGGGAGGCAGTGGCCCCGCACAGAGCCGGGATAGGGGCTCTAGGACCCTAGGTTTGCTGTCTGGCCCAGGGCTGAACCTCTGCTCAGCCGAGTCCCAGGCAAGGCTGGGGAAACCCCATGCAGCACCCACTCACGTCCGTGGGGTCGTCCTCCTTGGAGATGTTGACCAGGTAGGTAAGCTCAGACCACAGGTGATTCTTCAAAGGGTACGGGTTGCTCCACGTCAGCAGCCACGTGTGGGAGATGGCGTGAACCGTGAGGTTTTGAGGGGCCCTGGGTTTCACTGCAGAGAAGTGGTGCCTGGTGAGGGGCTCGTCCGGGCTGCTGGAGGAGGCCCACCAGGCCCGCAGACCCCAGGCCCCTGAGACAGTCAACAAGAGCTCTGTAGTACATTTATGGGTGCCACAGAGATTCAGAGCAGAACAAGAGAGTTACAATCACCATACTGATTCTAATGAATCTAAATAAAGAAAAGCCCCTAGTAAATAATGACATAGCACAGAGATAGGGCCTCAAGTGTGAGGCCAAAGGAGAAGCAGCCAGAGTTCGGGTTCCTTTGGCTTCTGCATTTTGCGTTCCCTGGAGGAAGGTGGTGAGTAACCACTAAAGTGCCAAGTTGAATTCCAGCAACTTTGTCTCTTTTTAGGCAATCATATCCATAGGACACAGGGATATAATGCACATTAAGTCAACATACACATGTAGAAATTATTTTAATTCACGGGTTCATTCATGGGTTGCTTTAGATAACCCACTGACCACCAGCGGGATGAGCAGGCCCTTCAGGAACTGCTGATGGAGTGGCAAAGACTGTGAGCTCTGTGAGAACACTGCATCTGCTGCTTAGGAGCTGTGTGACCTTAGGCAGGTTACTTGCCTTTTCTGTACTACACTTTATTCACTTGCAAAATGAGAATAGTAACTCTTCTGGAAACTGAGGCTCAGAGAAGTACTGTGACTTGTTCAAGGTCACACAGCAATAAACAGTGTTTTAAACTCTTGTCACTAAACTTCAGCAAGTTCATGGGGAATTCCTGTGGGGCTCTGGGTACCAGGATAAGGTCAGCCTTCCATGGTCCAGACTGTCTGAAGATGCAGCAGCTGACCAGTTGACAGAGGGCAGAAGAGAGTTCCCAGCTCAGTTTTGGATCTGCAGCAGCATGCCTTCCATCGAACACGCTCATCTCGACATCCCAGTCTGGGCACTTAAATTCAGGGGGCTGAAATATCTGAACTGAAGGGGGCCTGATACACTGCTGAGCACGGACCCATTTCAAAGACAGGCGGACTGAGCCCCAGAAGGGAGCAAGAACCCCATCAGGTTTGGGAAAAGGCAGAAGGCTGCTTGGAGCCCCCAACCCCGAATGGAGCCCGCCCCTGTCCCAGAGCCAGCTGGCTGCGGGCACACCGGCCCTGCCCGCCCCGCTCACCGTGCCGGCTGGGCTTGAAGGAGCTGTTCCACAGCAGTTGGTTCCCAGCCCACAGGTCCAGCTCATAGACGTCCTCGCTGACGATGTTGTCCATCAGCATACGGCACACGCACACTTCATCTTCTCTGTTCTCGGGGATACACGTGAGGTTGCTGTAGACACAGGTGCTGCGTTAGGCTGGTCAGGTGACCCACGGGTGTCCCTGGGACCCACCTCAAGGAACCACATGCTCTTCCATCTTCCAGGTCACTCTGCCTTAGAGGATCAGATCTGGAGGCTTGGGAGCAGAGTGTCCAGGGTGTGCTGGGGACAGCGGACTAGGACTTCCCTGCTGGCCACAGCCCCTTCCACACCCACCATGGCCTTGGACACGCCCCTGGCTGCAGCCATGGTCCCAGGACTTGGCTGGTCCCCGAAAGCCAGTGAAAGGGAAGAAGCTGAGGCATTCAAGAGTTGGTGACGATGTACGTGTGTGTCCCAGCATGCCTCTGGGTAGCACAGCCTATCCCAGTGGACAGCAAACTGTGGCACGACCTGCCTGCTGCCTATAGGCACACGCTCTGTGCAGCATAGCATCATCCTAATGTGCCACCAGAAACAGTCAACCCCACGTCTCATGCGCTAGGCTAGGGCTGGCAAACGTCTTCTGTGAAGGGACAGATAGTACATGTTTTGGGTTTTGAGGGCCATACTACATACCTACATAACTCTTCTGATGTAGCACAAAAGCAGCCAACCATAGACAATACATAAACGAATGGGCACGGCTGTGTGCCAATAAAACTTTATTTACAAAAGCAGGCAGTGGGCCGGATGTGGCCCAAGGGCCACAGTTTGTGGATCTCTGGTCTGGGCCAACGTAGCACACACAGAAGCACAGGCCATCCACCCTACTGCATCCCGGAATACCACCTGTGTCAGTGCACTCTATGCTCTGGTGTGCTGTGCACCCCAGGATGCCCCTGTGACTGTGTTCCCTTGTGTCTCTGGATTTGTGCCCAGGATCACCACCTGTAACAGTACCTTGCATATCACGGATTATCCCAGGGAACCACCTGGAACAAAGTAACCCATGTTCCATGGTCCACCGACCATCACAGTGAGCTCCACTGCTAAGCCTGTACCCCCAAACAATGGTCTAGTCTGACAGCTCTCAACGTGTGGTCTAGGGGGCCACTAGGTCAAACTATTTTCATAATACTAAGACATTATTTAAAATTTCTGTTTTAATTTCTAAGAGGGTAAATATTGATAGAAGCTACCCAGACAAAAGCTTTTGGGGTCCACACTAACTTTAAGTATACCAAAGAGTCCTGAGACCAAAAAGTCTGAGAACCGCCGGTCTAGTACAGAATTCTACCCCTACCCACATGCCACACGCCTTGGGGACAGTGTGCTCGGAGCAGTGTGATGTGCTCACTGTCTCTCACACATGCAGCGCCCTCGGGCACCTCGCCCCCGACACGGAGCCCAGGGAGCTGCAGTGACTGCTGCAGCATCACGCCCTCCGGGGCCGCCCAGCCCAGGCGAACTCCAGGGCCCAGCCTCAGGGCAGCTTCCCCAGATGCCCAGCTCCGCACAGGCTTACTCAGAGAACTCGTCGTTCAGCTGGTAGGACAGACGGAGCTGGGCACTGCAGTTGGTGGGACGGTCCATCTTCCACTCACAGGTGGAGGCGCTGATGTAGTCGGAGAAGCAGGCGGTGAGATGCAGGACCTTAACGCTCCCTGGGGAGACACAGGAACACTCTGAGCAGCCGGAACCCGACAAGCAAGAGGGACACGTGCCCCCAGGGCACGTCGGAGACCAGCCCAGACAGGACCAAGGGGCCCACCGCAAAACCAGGAAACCACAGTCCCAGGCCCAGGCGTGTGCCAGCCCTCATAGAGCTGCAGCCACAACTGTGGCTCCTGGAGCTTCCCAGCCAGCAATGGAGTGATTCTCGAAGCTGAAGAAGTAGCCTGGGGTGCAGGGTCCATCAGCAGGGACAGACTAAAGGCACGTTCATCAGAGGCAAACTCATTTTAACCTGCCCGTGGCCAAATGGAAGGGAAAATGCGTGGCAGTCTAAGGCATGCTCCCCCCGGCCCCCGGGGTCCGCCCCGCGAGGTGCGGTGGGCAAGGCATGTTCTTCACTTGCCCGCTCCTATTCCCCATCCTGCTCTGCGCTCAGGAGGCTCATTCCCATGGTCTTGTCACCCAGGTGCCCCTGTCCTCGGGCTTCCTGTGGGGGCAGCACTGAAGGGCTGGATGAGAGGCTGGGGTCCTTCTTCCAGCTGTTGTGGCAGAGCCGGGACTGGAACCCGCCAGGGTGGACACTGGGTTTGCCAAATTATCTGAGAGCCACGTTAGCTCTGAACCACCTGGGCCCTCAGCGCGGCCGGTCACTGTCACCGCCGACATCCATTTGCATCTGTTCCTGGATAAAGGGCCCACTATACCAAGAAGAGTCTTAGATATTTAATAAATATCTTAAACTCACCTCATGTCCACAACTAACTCCTGATTCCCTGGCCCCCAAAACACAGGCTCCTTTGCGTCTCAGAAATGACGCCGCATCCTTGCCAGTGGCTCAGGTCAGAAATCTCGGAGTCCCCCTCGACATCTCTCTCCCACCTCAGTTCTAGTGTTTTCAAGTCTACCTTTCAGATGGATCCGGAAGCCAGTCCTCTCATCTCTGCCTCTCCAAGCCACCTGGCTCACGGTGGCACCTCAGCCCTGGTCTCCCAGCTTCCACCCTCGCGCTTACCACCAGGCGGATCCTCTGCTCAAACCCGCAAGGACCACCACCAAGGTAACGTGGCCGCCCTGTTGCTTCGCTGACTTTGTCTCCCTCCTCCTCCCGCTCCCTGCCTCCACGCCGGGCCCCCGCCATCCCCCCATGCTCCAGGCAGCCTCTTGCTCAGGGCCTCCTCCCCCAGAGAGCTGTGCGGCTCCCCACTTCCTCGAGCCTTTGCTCAACTGTCAGTCAATGAGGACTTCCCCGAGAGCGTGTCTGAAACTGCAGTCCTCCCACTCCACCAAGCCTCCCCACCCTCCCTACTCTGTCCTATGGTGTCCTCTCCCATCGCCTTCTAACAGTCTCTAGAATTTACCCATAATTAGGACCATTTGCCATTGGCTATCCCCTCCCCCAACAGTGTCATCTCCTCAAGGCCAGGGACTTCCATTTTGTTCACTGACTATCCCAGGAGCCCAAGGCAGAAATGATCAATAAGCATTTGCTGAATGACTGCAGGAATGAGAGGGGTGACTTACCAGAGCCTGCCGCCCACACCAGGATCAGGCAGCTCACAGGGAGCGTGAGCCCGGGGCAAAGGCACCCCATTGGGAGACCCTACTGCACCTGCGGAGAGAAAGTGAGCCGGTGAGTGGACTCGGGGTGCCTACCACGCCCAGCACCCTGCAGCCTTCAGGGCCCACCTCCTCCAGACACAGCTCCTCCCCGGCCAGAGGCGCGACCTCCACGCTCCCCAGAGCTGTTTATAACCACGAAACACAGCCTGAATGCATAAAGCCGAGAGCAGAGCCATAGAACACCTGTCCCATGGCCTGCTAAGTCTGAGCACCCCTCAGACTTCTGGAAGTTCATAAGGCACATTTGTGTGTAAAGGTTCTGGTAAGTCCTGCAGTAAAGAAATTTATTTTCTTCATTTAACCCAACGCTTACCAAATTTCTTTCCATACCCAACTTTCATTTTTGTGTGTGTATTTTAAACCCCAATTAATCCCCCAAAGGATTTACAATTCCTTGAATTTACAATTGTTTGGAAATGCTAATCTAACTGTCCAGCCTTCAAGAGCCGGTTAAATAAATGGTGGTATACTCATGCAATGAAGTAACAGGCAGCCACTAAAAATGACGCTGTGGAATGTGTTAGACCTACCACGTGAATGGACCCGATTCTTCACTCCTCTGATAACCATGTAACCGTGCAGTGACCCCCCCCCACCACTCTGGGCAGGGCATGCTCTCTGCTCCCCCCTTTGTCTCTGGGCTCAACCACGTGACTAGCTTTGATCAGCAGAACATCAGCAAAACTGATGCATGCAGAGGCCACCTCTGCACGACCACTGCCTGGAGAACATGTTCAGGCCCACCTGCTGGAGGACAGTGATATGCAACAGTCCCAGCAGTCTCATTTGGCACCAGGCAGCTGCCCGCCACCCCACCCTGTCACGTGAGTGAGCTTCTGCAAGATCAGCAGGCCCAAGATGTGTAGCCCACCTGAGGCTGCCCTCAGATGCATGAGTAAGCCCAGCAGGACCAGCCAAGCCCAGGTACACTGGCCCCCAGGCTCGAGCTGAGTAAGTGCCTCCTGCTGTGTGCCCCTGAGGTTCTGTGCTTGCTTGTCACACGGCATTATGTCCCCTCGGTCACGACTCCGCCACCCTGACTTCTAATCCCATAGAGCACCGGTGCCGTTCTGCAGTTTATGCAAAGGGAACGTGCTACTGCGTGCATGGCGGCCCGTGACTCAGGGCCAAGGGACGAAATCAGGAGGCACAGCCAGCCAGGAAGAACGACAGTTCACATCCCCCAGATCTCAAGGCCACTCACACATTGGTGTCTAGGTTTGTTTCCATAAAAATAAGGAGATAGAAGAATTTTATTTACCAAAGCAGCACCCTCTCCATACTAAAACTTAAACTTTAAACTTATTATACAATTAATGTCATTCCATGCCACTGAATTTAGATCCAAAGCATCAAATGAGTCGCCCTCCCTTGTGTGCCGGCTGTTGGATTTTAGCCGTGATTTATCACTTTCATTACTTTGTTCTCATACACAGCGTGGTCTCCATGCCTGTCCTTGGAGAATCATCCTACACATTTCTCTGATTGATCCCTTAACTTTAATCACCTGCTCTGTCATTTACTCCTTGTGAATGCTGAGCAAGCTGCTTAGCCCCTCTGTGCCTCAGTTTCCCAATGTGTAAAGCGGGGCTAACAGCCCCATCCCAGTGGGGCGTCATGAGGATTGAATGAGTTAACACACGTGGAGTCCTCAAACAGCAACCTGAACACAGGGACAGCTCAAGGAATGCCACCAGTTGTTATCCTGAAGGAAGATGCTCAGAAGCAGGATCCCCCAGGGGCGGGGGGTGTGCACTTCCTCCAACACTCCCGGCGCATGAGGCCCATGCCCTCTAGAAAGCAGTGTCCCGAGGCACACTCCCGGCAAGGCTGAGCGGCGCCCCAGTCCTGCCTGGGTGTCTGCCTTGGGGTCACGTTTGGAAAAGTGGCATCAGCCTCCTCCTGCTACTGAGCATCCGTGTGCTGTCAAGACAGCTCCTCTCCCTTCCAGACTCTGGTTCCTTCGCCTGCAATGCGGAAATGACCCCACGATGGACCCACCAGGTGTGCCGCAGAGGGCGAGAGGCGTGTACCTAAATGCACCTGCCCCGGGTGTGCGGCACGGTAAGGGCCACGCTGGAAGCCTGCGGCCCTGCTGGAAGCTCTCCAGTGACTTCGCCCCACGTGAAGGCCCCACCCAGCCGGGCTCATCTCCCTCTCCACCTGGCCCCGCACCTGTGCATGGAGCCGCCACCACCTGGCCGTCTTCACTTCCTGCAGCTCTCCAAACACCCCGAGCTCACTCCCACCTCCACACTGTCCTCTCGCTGTCCTTTTCATTCACATTCCCTCTCTCTCAGTCTGTCTGTCTCTCTCTAATTTATTCATAACGAATAAGTTTCCCCTCAACACGCCAGTGTATGTTTCAGAATGTTCTTATTCTCCTCCATAACCATAATACGACCATCAAAATCAGGAAACTAACAGTGATGCATCACGGCCTTGGAACCCACAGACCCTCCTTTCATCTTGCCGATGGCCTCAACGATGCCCTTATAAGTCCAGGATCCAGTCCAGGGCCGTGCGCTGCATCTGATTATCACGCGGACCCGGGGCCCAGGTCTTGGCTTCTAAATACTCTGCACCGAAAGGAGCCAGGGCTCTTGGGGGAAGTGACTCACTCCAGGAGCAGGGAACAAGCCTGAATTCTTCTTGTGCCAGAAAGTAGGCGAGTGATTCAAGAAGGAAGGGCACAGGTCAAAAAAAGCCACAGGAGCCAGGCTGAACAGGTGCCCACTGGCCAAAACAGGCACTGCTGGAGCATCACAATAAATCTTATAGTAACCGATTGTAACCCTCGCACTTAAAACAGGGATCCAGGTGTCTGCAGTGAAAAAGATCTATAGGGGGGGGGGGGGGGGGGGAGGGAGCTCTATTCCGCCACAGCAGCCTGTGTCCCCACAAAACTCGTACTAATTATTTAATTAATGAGTCAAAATATTTTCTAATTAACTTTATAATACAGAAACCTGGCAGACACCCCCTTTAAGCAAGTGGTCAAAGTTAACATCGCCAGGAATGGGACAAAACAAGGTCACGAACTTTCTAGAAACAGTGCCCTGAGACCACATCACTTCTCTGTGTTCCTGCCCCAGAGGCACAAATCACGTACGAATGTCAGGCAAACCTAAACTGAGGGGCGGTCTCTAAAGGCACCGGCCTGTCCTCTTCAAGGAGCGCCACAGGGAGAGGGCCGGGGCAGGGTGGTCAGCTGCCTGTCGGGCCGAGAGCCAGGTGCATCCTGTTCAGGGCCAAGTTCCACATACCTGCGACGAGGCCTGGCACATCGCATGGGCTCAGTGCGTCTGTCGCATACAGTCATTTTGGACATGATGTGGGCCCCTAAGGGGCTCAGCACGGGCTGGAAAGCCCTCCCTAGGAGGAGACTCAGCATCCACTTGAAGCCCCAGGTCACCTTCCTGGCTGAGAGTCCAGTGAAGATCAAGGAAGGACAGGTGGGAGTGGGGTTGTGGGTCCACGATGCCGGTTTCTTCGGCAAAGCCCCAGTAACTTTCCCTCTTGCCGGATCACACATGTCTGCAGCATCCTGGGCTCAGAGACTGCAAAGGTGTCACTTTAGCCCCAATTTTGAATAAAGAGAAACAGAGACGCCAAGATGCGTGTCCAAGGTCACACAGCAGACGGGCTATCGTGGTAAATCCCTCGAAAGGGGGGTAGGGGAGTCAAGCAACCCCTCGGGGTCGACTAAAACATCTCATCTGTGGCAGTCAGGGATGTTGTCTTTGATCTCTTTCGGAGGGCACATCGACATGCGCATGTGCACGCGCACACCCACTAGCTGGCTTCACAGGGCTGTGCCCGTGCTGCCTCTCAGAGGGATCTGCCGCACAGATGCACCGGGAATGGAGGACAAGGCATGGATGAGCAGAGGAAGGAAAGAGAGCTACTACCAGGCGGCCGGGGTCAGGCAGATGGCGAGAGGACGTAATTTCAAGTTTGCACCCTCAGTCAGGGGGTTCCTGACGTGCTGGAGTTGGGAAGGGCTCAGGTGCCGCCTGCCCAGCTCAGCTGCCAATGGGACAGGGACGCCCCACAGGTCTGACACGCGGCTGTCCAGTTTCTGCTTGTACCCCTCCACAGACGGGGCTCTCACCCCGAGGTCATGGTTGAGCAGAACCTGACTATTGAAAACAGCTTCCTTATTTCGAGCCAAGGGTTTGTGTAACACATCCTGCTTGTCAAGCACTCACGTTGGGCTCGAGACTTTGCTAAGTGCATGAGGAGCCATTACCTTACTGAATCGGCCTGAGACTTGCAAGCGGGAGTCCTCCTACTGCGGGCAGAGACCAAATCACCTGCCCAGCGAGAGGGCAGAGCTGGAGGAGAATCCAGGTCTGTCGGCTTCGGAGCCCAAGGTACCTTCCAAAAGATCAATTCCTTCAACTTCTCCTCCTGGAACCACAAACTGGACCCAACAAGATGAAATGAAACGAGCCAGGAAGAGCTGGCCATCCTGCTTGTCAATTTCAAACATCAGTCGTCCAAGCACAGGACCGGAAAGCCTGACTGAGCAGCAGAAAAAGCCTGGGGCTTTTTTTATTGTTTACAAACTCCCCATGAGCCAGAGGTGAAGCGCAGCTTAAAAAAAAGTCAGCTAAAGTCATATTAACAAAGATACAAGAGCTACGAAAAGGGAGGTGACAGTGCCCAACCACACCTGTGCATCACTTTGGAAGAAATACTGCTGATTTGAAGCTTGTCAAGAAGATGATAACTGACACAGAGAGGACCCCAAAATCCCAGAAAGCCTAGAAGATCTTTGCCTAACAGGCTCTGCCCTCCTAGATCCTGCAGCCTCACCATTCACTTAACAAACATACAATATTGACCACATGCCAAGTTTCCTCTAAACAGTTTACATATTAATTCGTTCAATACTCAAAACAGCCCTACAAAGAAGGTACTATTACTTTCCCTATTTTCAGATGAGGAAACCAAGACACAGAAAAGTCAAGTCACTTGCCTGAA